TTTTGACAGTCGTTTACACCCATATGACAAGATCTGGAAGACTTGCTTCCATCACCAAGAAAATCACCTTGCTAGTCAATTCTCCCATCCTAACTCCACAATCAGGTTTAAAATCCTATTACCATAGATTAGTTTTGCCTTTTTAAAAATTTTTACATAAATGGAATTATGCTTCTGTGTGTTTTTGTTTCTTTCACTCTGCCCATTGATAGTGAGACTCAGCCACATCATTCCTTTTTTTAATAGTTCATTCCTTTTCTTTCTTTCTTTTTTGTTTGTAGAGACAGAGTCTCACTCTATCGCCCTCAGTAGAGTGCTATGATGTCACAGCTCACAGCAACCTCCAACTCCTGGGCTTAGGCGATTATCTTGCCTCAGCCTCCCGAGTAGCTGGGACTATAGCCACCGGCCATAACACCTGGCTATTTTTTTGTTGCAGTTTGGCCGGGGCTGGGCCCGAACCTGCCACCCTTAGTATATGGGGCCGGCATCCTACCCACTGAGCCACAGGCACCACCCGTTCATTCCTTTTCTTATTGGCAAGTAGTATTCCCCTGTATGGATATATACCACAACTTGTTTATCCATTCTTTTCCTGGGATTTCTCAAATAAAATAAATTTAGTTATTTATACTTCATCATATGTGGTAGAAACACTAAAATTACAGGTACAAAATTACTTGTAGAAAAACATGATGTTATAAAATAGCATCTTATAAATAGGGCAACTGCATGATGAGATGATTCATAGGCATTACCATATTTTATCGTGTATGATGTGTTCTCATGTATAATGTGCATCCATGTTTTTGGCCCAAACTTTCAGGAAAAAAAAATCTTTCATTTTAACATTTTAATTCAAATTTTTATTTGTTTATATTTAGGTACTTGTTCTTTGTATCATAAAAGAATTTTAGCATTTATTTGTTAACCTATGACACAAGAAATTTTATGTAACAAGAAGAATATTAGCTAGATTGCTAGTTCCTGCCTAAAGTATACAAAGAGAAATGGAAGAAATATGTTGCTCTTGGTTGGCTGAAAATGCTTTCGTTGTAAGTTCATCGTAAGTTCAACAAAACCAATTACTGTATTTCAGGGTGTTATTTTGCATACAAATGCCATTATTTATGCATAAGCATAAATAAAAGAATTAAATACATTTATGTAGATAAGGAATTAGCACTTCCCATGTATACTGCACGTCCTTATTTTTCCCTCAAAACTTGGGCCAAAAAGTTCATGTTATACACTGCAAAATATAGTATCTCTACGGAATCTCTACAGGATGAGAAAGTTGCAAGCCCTCTGTAGACCATAAAGAGTACTTTGCCCATATGGTATTTAATTTGAAAATACAAATTGCCATGCAAAAAGTGGAAATGGGTCACTTCTCTTGAGAAAAAAGAAAAAGTTGAACCAAAGACACATTTCGAATTAATGACATAGAAATTAAGAAAATAGAAAAAGAAATCTTTGCAATATAAATATCTATATCAACACACACACACAATTAGCAACATCTCTAGGGTCACTGTAAGTATGGAGGCCAGTGAGACAAAGGGTACCAATAATACCACATACCACAAATTAATTCCCAATTGTTTTCTGCAGAGTATTTGATACGTCTTTAAATCAGATCTAGTTAAACATTTCAGATGTATTTAATTACATATTTTAAAGGCTTGATACAGAGCCTGAACCTAAGATCATGTGTTCAGAAATATGTTACTTTAGAGATTATTTCTAGTTGGATTTCCTAAGGCCATTTTGTTAATGACACTAGTTTTAAGAGTTATCTTCCCTATTCTGAACTTGTGAAGCATAAATACTTCAAAATAACGTTACATTTAAGATAGACTGCAAAGATAAAGATACTAAGCTTTACTTTGATTTTTTTTCCCCCAGAGGATCAAGATAATCTCAAACCATATATTAAGTACCCTCCTGCAATTTCTAATGTACAATCTTAGTCGGGTTTGAGTTATGGGAGCAGTCAAGAGTATCTGAAAACACTTTGTTTTTTCCTGTGACTTTTTTCTTGGTCATATAAATATCTGAAGAGGTTATTGCTTAACCTATAAACAGTGACATTGTAATTTATGAATACTAAAAAGTCGCCCCGTTCATTTCCATTAAACTATGTGATGAGCTAGAAATGATGCCTTTTCTCAGTGGAAAGGACATAAAGGAAAAATTTTCCTTGTATCCTTAACAACAGTCTGATCTCATTTTAACCTTGATCACTCTCTATCCCTAGACTTGGCAACAACTCACACTCTGGTTTCTACTTTTCTATATCAATTAAATGGAAATACCATCCTCATCATTATTATCTTGTAGACTTGCCAAAGACCAGGCCTCCTCAAACATAGACTCAACTACTGGAAATCTGAGCAGGTGTGAGTTTCCCTAGACCACCCCCTTCCCTGGAAGCTGGAAATTGAAGGTGGCAGTTGTGATCAGACTGAAAGGATTCCAGTTTATCTGGGATGTTGTTCATCAATGCTGATTTTATTCGTAACTTCTCTCAGCTTGGCAATTAAAAGTGAGTCTTTATTATAAGAATATATATACAACTGTTAGAACTGTAAGCCACGAGTTCCAAAACTTAGAAGACAAACCTATAGCAATAGCCTAATACCCTTCTTCAGCTATAACTTACATCTAATTTAAGGTTTTGAGGAAAAGGCTGGGAATCTTTTATTACTACCTAAATGAAAGCCCAGCAAGATGGTCAGCAAATAGAGCTGTATCTAATTATAAATTAGTAATAATAGGAACAACGGTCTCCAGAAACCACAGTAGACATGATGGTGGTGAATCAAGATATTTTTGAAAAGTACTGAGATAGTCTTAAGTTTCAAGTCAACAACTAATTTTATAACAGATATAGTACTATCCGTGAAAATCGAATTGTTTAAAATCACACACAATTTAAATGGTCTACTCAGTTGTTTGCCTGTAGGCAATATACCTATCAGAAGTAATTAATAAAACAAGTAGTCCACAAGACCATTGACTTTGAAGTTCACATCTGGTTCCCCTTATCCTCATTCCTAACTAGGGTAATGGCTTAATAATCTGATAACTTAATGATTCTGTTACCTTTTTTTCATCTATAAAATTGGAAACAATTATAAGGTAGTTGAAAAGAGTAAAAATAAAGTGTGCAAGGCACCTAGCATGTGCTTGTCACAGAACAAGACACTCAAGGATTGGTAGGCATATTATTCATAACAAATAATTGATTTCCAGGTAGTCAGTTGGCTTTTTATAAATGTTTATAGGAAAGCCAAGCATTTTTTCTGTTTTGTTACTTGAGTTGTCCTCAGCCAGGACCAAGTCAGGAGGATATCTTGGTGTAATACCACCTTTTATTTGTTTGCAAGAGAAATCCTAATGGTGTGATGGCCCCAAAGCTGACAATGACCTTGTCTCAGTCACTCGGGTGACAGTGAGCACTATTTATACTGCCTCTGTATGGAACTGGGATGTGTGGTTTAGATTCTACTTTCTAAGCTAATGTATTTGTTCATGGATCATAGTTTCCTCAGGGGTCCAGAAGGAATGTATGAGGAAAACACTGAAAGTTCACCAAATAAGTAAGGATGAATAATATGTCTTGTATCTTCAAAGGTGCCTTTGTGGGGAGTTTACAAGGAGAGTTGATAATGATCAGTTTATAATTCTAAGCTAAAGGAGCAGGGAGTTAGACTTTCTTTAAATTTGCTGATAAACAACCTAGGGGTAGGCTTTATCTATCCTAACGTCTTGGCAACATCATGCATTTATCTATATATTACTTTAGGAGACAGGGTCTATCTCTACTGCCCAGAGTGGAGTGCAGACGTACAAGCACAATTCACTGAAACTTTGAACTCCTGAGATAAAGCAGTCCCCCTGCCTCATCATCCTGAATAGCTGGTGCAACAGTCATGCACTCCATACCTGGCTAAATGTTTTTTGTAGAGACAGGGTCTTATTGTGTGGGTTTGCTTGTCTCAAACTCCTGGCCTCAAGCAATGCTCCGGCTTCAGCCTCCCAAGGTACTGGGATTACAGGCATGAGCCTCCTTGCCAGAGCAACGTCATTTATTTTTGTTACAGCTTTCTGAATGTTACACTGACCACACCAAAGGAGACATAAATACCCCCAAAGGGACGGGATCACTTCTTAGCAGTTTCACTGAATTTTTTTCTGAGAGCCACTGAGTAGAGCTTTGTGTGACTAAGAGTAATCAGTTTTATTGATTTGTTCTGTGACTTTGGGCGGGCACCAGGTCTAACCTGAAAAAAAATTCTTAGGTCCAAGCACATTGCAGGTGCTTTAAAAATAACTCTTAAATATTGACTGAGTAAAACTGTCCATCTCAAAGGTGGACAGTCCCCCCTAGGCAGTGTCGTGGAGATGACTGAAGACTAGCTGGGGACTCCATGTAAACTATTAGAAGAGCTTTAAAAAAACAAATTCATGTCAGAGAGTGCACAATTAGCCCAGCATCTCTGTAAACAGTTATTTCAACAGCAAACACCTCAGTGGGGAAAATGCCTGCATTTATTTCTCAGCTGGACTATGGAATTTAGAAAGAGAAGAACCTAAGAGCGACGGAAACTTCTGGAAATGATTTCACAGCTTGGAGCCCAGCAATGCCTATTTTGGATTAAATTGTCTATTAATTAAACTCCAATGATTTCAATATCCATCACTTTGCACTATGCCTCACAGAAAACAAAAACAAAACCCAAAGGAATCCTGAAAGTTTGGGGGAAGGAACACACAGGCAGACGCCGGCTCCCCGGCTCCCGAAGGCCATGGGCACAGCCCGCCCGGGGGCCCAGCAGGCGCTGCGTCCCGGCGCTGCGAGTTGGCAGTTGGCGACCCCCCTCGAATCCCCCCTCTGCTGTCGGCGCCCCGTGGCCTTTGGAGGCTCGGCGAGCCGGCGAGTAGGCTCCAAATGTTTTCCATATTTGTTCAGCCTCCGTAATTCGAATACCAGGGCAGGCTCGGCCCGCCGCGCGCCGCGCTCCGGGCCCAGGGCGCAGCACACGCAGCTGCCCGCCCGCCCCTGCAGCCGCCATGGGCAAGGACAAGCGGCCCCGCGGCCAGCAGAGGCAGGGGGGGGCGCCGGCCGCGGACGCCGCCGGGCCCGACGACATGGGGCCGAAGAAGAAGGGCACGGGGGCCCCCAAGGAGCGCGGGGAGGAGGAGGCCCAGACGTGCTGCGGCTGCCGGTTCCCGCTGCTGCTCGCCCTGCTGCAGCTGGCCCTGGGCATCGCCGTGACCGTGGTCGGCTTCCTCATGGCGAGCATCAGCTCCTCCCTGCTAGTCAGAGACACTCCATTTTGGGCTGGGATCATTGTAAGCATCAAGTCTGTTTTGCCTAAGCGCGTTTGCCAAACAGGAATGCGAAGCCGCATGGTCGAGTTAAGACTAACCCAACTGCATGCGCCCTTCCCCAGGTCAACTCCTCTAACTCGCGCTCTGCTAGGTGACCCGATGCCGGGCGCACTTGGCTTTGGCCGGACGCGGTGGGACGCGCGCCCGCTCCTGCTTGTTGCTCCGAACGCCTCCACCGGGCCTGACTCTAACGCCCTGCGGCAGAGGGGACGAGCCCAGAGGCCGCTTATTCGGGTCAGATTGAACAGACTCGATAACGGCGGAGTCCCCTTGAGCTTTATTATTCCCTTACTTATTCCCCGGACCCCGCCTCTGTCTCTAAATAAGTAGCAGAAAGTGAAATAAGTTCGTCTAGTAAAAGCAGGCAAGGAAAAGGCCGTATTTGAAGTTGCCACATTGGGTAGTATTCATTTTATTCTTTAAATTGAAATTCCATTAGTCAGGTTTATGAGGACGAGGACGTAATGGGCTAAGGCAGGAAATGCAAATACAGCAAACACAGCCTTAAGCTTCTGGAGCCTAAATGGGCTAAACCCAGGGCGCTGGCCGTGGCAGAAGTCTATTTGGGAGTCGGCAAATGGATGTACTGTTCTAAGCCGAACACTGCTCAGCTGTTGGTGGGTGTTGAAACAAGCAGCATACTTGGCTTGATTAAATGAGTTCTTTAATGTAAAACGGGTGCCATTTATTGAGTACCTACTGTGCGCCTGCCCTGGTAGAGGCCTTATATATATTGTCTCTAATCCCCACATTATCCTTACGGGGTAGTTATTACCATTCTCACGTCTCAAATGAGTGTTCAGCAACGTTCTGTCCTTCTTACAGCAGATGCTATCTGCCTTGTCCCCATTGAGCCTCGCTGCCACATTTGTTTGTAATTTTATTCTATCATAATCCAGGGCCTTGCTGGGTGTTGAACTCTCTCATGCACATTATTTCATTTGACCTATGAAACAGTGCTTTCAGGTGGGAATTATTATTCCTCTTTGGACGTGAGGAAATAAGCTGAGAGAAGTTAAGTGACATTCTCAAGCCCACAGATTAAATGTGGCAGAGTTGGGAGAGACTGGAAATGACACTTCTGATTTCTAGTCTCATGTCACATCATTTCTGCTGTTACTGGCCACAAGAAGTATAACTCATAAAACAACCCTCAAAAAATAATACGGTACCCGGAACAGACCCATTCGAGACACCTGATAGGTACACATCAGTGCAGGTATTTTCTAATTAAGATTATTTGAATTCACCTGTTTGCAGAGTAATTTAAAACTTTTAATTTTTGTACTAAGAATTCCCATGAAATTAATCGTGATTGGAGGTTTCTAAATCAAGTGATTTTAAAAATAGCTTTTCACTAAGAAAGACTAGGTATTTTCGTCACCTCAGTGGCTGTCAACAGACATGTCTGTCCTTTGAGTCTGAGTGATTATAAGAAAAAAGGAATGACTGACTGTATTTCATTTAGCATTTTTGAATATCATTTGCAAATGTGTGTCCTATCCTTTCTTTATTGCAACTTCAAAAAGCCTAGCACCCAAGAAGCAAACGGGATGGGGAAAATCTTGTCTTAATGTTTAAGGCATGAGCATACAACACCGTGCAACTCTGAAATGTCATGAACTAAAGCTCCTCTGGGAGGTGTGTTTCTAATTGCTCTGGAAGCTCCCTGGGTGTGGCACAGAGGGCGTTCTCTACAGCCATGTCTGTGTTCTTTCTGTTTTGTTTTTTAGACTCTAGGATTCATTTGAAGTTTGCTCTCAGTAGGTAGCCCTGATGACATCTGTAATCTTAAATTTTCGTGCAACCAAGAATCTGTGCAGAGCAGCTGGTATAGACGTGCTGCAATGAGTGAGGAGGGTCTCTGAGAAGCCAGGCCTGGAACCATTGGCACCTTGGCAGAACCAGAGCTGTGGGCAATGGGTCACTGTCTCACACAGACACCATGTTTGTCCTCACCAAGCTGTCTGTGGTTGCAAGCTTTCAGGGTAAGGGAAAAGACAGCGAGGCAGATGGTGAGGTGCAGATGTGTAAACACCACACCTGGTGCTGAGCCCCAGCTCAGCCATTATGTGCTGAATAATTCTAGACAAGTGACTTCTCTAGGTTTCTATTTCTTTACTGAGAAAATAGAATGATGATAGTAATTTCTACCTCTGGGTAGGATTAAATAAATTAATGCATGTAAAGCACTTAGAACAGTGCTGGGGAGTGGTTAAGATTCAATGGGTTAGCCCTGTGTATCGGCTGCGGGGAGTGGGCAGTCACTGCTAGTACCCACTTTCAGAGAAGTTGTTCTATTTCATCTCTAAGCTCACAGATAGTAATTTTTGACGTGGGCGGTCACTTCATAATACAAGGGCTTCTGTCCCATTAACTTGGGATTTCAGGATTGTCATTCTCATAATACAACCTGGGTATATGGATAAATACAGTGAGGTGACTTTTCACTGGCCAATGGCCAAGTGACTTGAATATCCAGTGAGCTTCTGGTTATAGAATGAAGAGACCCTTGGTGTTCTATGATCTGAGATGTATGTCTGGTGAGATTTTAGGAAAACAAAAAGGTTATTGCATTTCCTTCCTTCCTTCCTTCCTTCCTTCCTTCCTTCCTTCCTTCCTTCCTCTTTAAAGACAGGGTCTCATTCCGTTGGCCAAGCTGGAGCACAGTGACACATTCATAGTTCACTCTATCCTCAAGCTCCTGGATTCAAGGGATCCTCCTGTTTTGGACTCCCAAGTTGCTAGGAGTACAGGTGCATGCCACTGTGCCCAGCTAACTTTTTTCTTTTGCAGAGATGGGGTCTCACTCTGTTGCCCAGGCTGAGCTCAAACTCCTGGCCTCCAGTGATCCTCCCACCTCGGCCTCTCAAAATACTGGGAGTATGCTGCCAGGCCATAAATAGGTTACATCTGTTCATAAATGTGACTCTACTCACCCCTAATCAGAGAGATAACCAAAGTCTTTTAACTATAGTTACAAAAGATTCCCGTAAAGGAAAAAAAAAATAGAATGGCACCACTCTGGAAATCATGAAACCTATGACCATGCTGTTCATCTCTTAAAATTCTTCTAGGTGGTTTGAGGGCTGTAAGTCACACCACATTGACAAAACAAAGTGACAACGCATCTCTGTGGAGTCACTTGGCTGGAGGCACAGATCCTAGGAAAGAAGTTCGTTCTGCATTTTATTCTATTAATGGCTTGAGTAGCTAAATCAGATAGGTATTCACATTAGCTCATCATTCTGGAATTCATATTAATAAAAAATGTGTATAGATTGAAAGAATCCAAGAACTTTGGGGACTTTACTTCTTACTCAAATGAATATACAGTTTTGGCTTGAAGGGAGCATTAAATATTTGCACTTTGGCATATTCCTCTTCGTTCCATAACATTTATAGAGGGTGTCGGCCATGCTACACATTGGTCTAAAAACGATGAATAATACACCTGGAGGACATCTCCAGCTCCTGATGGACAAGTGCCCTTATCATAGCTGACAGTAATGAATACTTCCGATTAGAAAATTTAACCTACGCAAATACTTTTAAAGCCCATTCACCTTTCAGAGTATTTCATTCACAGTGATTTATTTGCTTTGGCATCTCTACTCTGAAGTCAATTTAAGAGCAAACTCTTGCTTCTCATCTTCAGTGGGGATGTTCAGTATTTGTTAGTCTCTTGGCTCTTGTCAGGAATATTTCCATGGAAAGTAAAAATTTCCTTGCCTTATTTTCCTTTTTAGCTTTCCCAACTCTCCTTCCATGGCTGGTGCCCCACCCACTGGAAAAAAATTACCGTGAGATACATACCCCATTAATCACACTGGGAAGTTTAAGACAAGGACTTAAAAGAAGGAAGAACATTTCTGTTATTTTATTTTATGTCATTCAGAAAACTCATACAAACCTGTAATGATTAAAAGTCCTGTCAAGAATTTTGATAGCAGTTTTCATATGTTAACTTTCTCTGAGGAATTCAAATGGCAGGTGTATTCAGATTTTTAAAATCTAGTTCTAGACTGGACTTAACGGAAGGGAAAAGTGGTTATTTATTTTAAAACAGAATATACCCTGAAGTTCACAGGTAGACATATGACACAGAGCAAGTAATGAACAGATATAGTTATTATCCATAATTTATAAGTAGAGAAAACAAGACATAGTTATTTAGTGGAATGGTTTTGATCATGTTTATGAAAAGAAAAAACTGGAAGAGAGAAAAATTTGGCATTGGGGTTTTGATAGACCCTTAAGGAATCAAGAAGTGAAAAATGTCTGGCGGTGCCTATGGCTCAGTGAGTAGGACGCCAGACCCATATACCGAAGGCAGCAGGTTCGAATCTGGCCCTAGCCAAACTGCAACAACAACAAAAATAGCTGGGCGTTGTGGCGGGTGCCTGTAATCCCAGCTACTTGGGAGGCTAAGGCAAGACAATCACCTAAGCCCAAGAGCTGGAGGCTGCGGTGAGTTGTGATGCCACGGCACTCTACCAAAGGTGACGAAGTGAGACTCTGTCTTTAAAAAAAAAAAAAAAAGAAGTGGAAAGTGGTGTCAGTTTCCTATGAAGGTGTATTGGCATTTAAAAATTTTAATCTGGAATTACATTTTTAGGAATACACTACATAGTATAAGAATACTTTATTCTAAATATTGGGACTTTAATATGCTTCCAGAATGTAACATAGCATCTCTGGTACCACTGGGAAATCATTTTTATTGTAGCGACTATCACAGGGTTGTTAGGAAGTGAGTAGTGATAATCACATGGCCCAACTCAATCTCCACTGAATGTGTATAAGAAATGATGATGGGAAAATCATCTTCGAGGCACAGGAAGTTCTCAAAGTAAGTAGCTATGAGAAAAAAGTGGACTGTAACTGAATTATTTTGGCAAAAGAAATTAATTCTAATGTGTATCTGAAAATAAAGTGGAATATTCAAGAGTTTGGCGAAA